AGTCAGCAGGAAGGGAAAGGATCAATTCACACGACGAGTGAGCCTAGTTCGAAGAGCCAATTGGATCAAATTTCAAGAATCCAATCCGGGTCCTCTTACCTAATATGAGACCTGAATTGGTCGGGCAACCCAATGTAGTCTAATTACGGGAAAATCCAGGTCTTACTACGGGCCTCAGCCAATCTGACGTGAAGGACCAATTTGATCCAATTATGGGAACATCCGGGTCTTATTACTGGGTTCTTAGCCGATATGAGACCTAAATTGGTCGGGCGACTTAATGTGGTCCCGATTACGGGGTTTTGATTCTGTTTCAGGCTGTCCTGTTCTCTGTGCCGTTTCAGGGAACGTTGTTTTCAGTAAAAGGATCTCTTAAAGGTAAAAACGAAGGAGAAAGCTCTGACGGCGAGAGCCAATTCCGGATCCAAGACGGAAGGAGCGAATTCTGGATCCAAGACGGAAGATTGAAGAAAATCAGAGGCTAGGGTTTGAAAGAGGGGAGGATTAGGGTTAAAGAAGAGGAAGGTTAAGAAATGAGGGGGGGATTTTTTTTCAGATCAGGATTTTTTGGATCGAAGAGCTAGCTTCAAGTTTTTTCAAGGTCACTAGTTTGGTTTCATTAGGGTTTGTGAGGGGAGAGCAATCGCTGCTCAAAGTCAATGTTTATTTTGGTGTTTCGGATTTTATATAAAACATTGATGGTTTGCATTCTCAATCGGTTTGTGCAAGTCGTTTAGCATTTATAGATAAAAATTTGGTATTGTCTGGATAGTTGGGTGTGCTAAGTGTATACAAAAATTTGTGTTAATCTAACGATGCAATCAAGAGATATCTGGGTTTTAGTACAAAGGATTGTCGGAAGTTGGCAGTCTAGGGTTGGATAGGGTTTCTGTGATATCTGAAGATCTACTAGTTGGATCGACATAATTTTTGGCTTGGTAATAGAAGATTTGGAGATCAAGCGGTTATTCAATTTTGAGTTGGAGTTAACGATTGACAAAGGAGAAATCACTTCTGGAGTTTCTACATCAAATTTCAAGGTTGCGGCTGAGTGTCATCAGTGCGGTTTTTGGGCGTTTTCTTGCAATCCGTAAGTTGGGTTGGGCTGAAATTTTCTGAGCATATAGAAGGCTTATACTGGTATTTAGATGCAAAATTTCACACTAAGTAGAAAATTAGATCAAAAGTTACAGCTTGTCAAAGCTCACTGGCTAGGGTTAGGGCTTGTTAAGAAAAACAAAAATAACTTAATTATAAAAGAAATAAAGCAATTGGAATATTGTATGGTTAAAATGACTATGAGGAGTGTTTTTAAATACTTGAAAATTGATATTTCAATTATATTCTTCATACATGGATAAAATCTATTAGGGTTTCTTTGTTATTTGCAAAAACAACTATACCTTCCACAGCCAGATACCCAGTGTATTCCCGAACAAGACAACACGTAATACAACAACGGAAGTTCATGCTTGGTCAGAAGTTGAAGAAGAAGGCCACTACCGTTGGCTTCAAGGGCCGATGAACCACTTACCTCGCGAACAACAGTTGGAGTTCATAGTAGACGTTATGCGACAGATCTTCATTTTCTTGCGTTGGTACTGATTGACAACAACATTGCTTCTCAGAGACCTCGAAGCTAAAGGAGGGGGTGATGTTAGGGACATAGTCCTTAGAACCTTTTAGAGACAAGTTTCTAGAATCTTCTAGAGACTAGCTTCTAGAACCTTTTAGAAGCAAGTCTCTGGAACCTTCTTGAAGCTTCTTAGTTGGTAGAAGATGTTCGGGACATAGTCTTTAGAACCTTTTAGAGATAAGTTTCTAGAACCTTCTAGAAGCTTCCTATTTGGTAGAAGTTACTTAAGAAGCTTCCTAAATAGGAGTATATATTAGAATCGAGGCTGAAGAGTTCTTCAGTCTTGACAATACATCTCTTGGAGCTCTAGCTCACCTCTCAGGTGTTGTTCTTGTATTCATCTGATTAATCTAGTTCTTGCCAGTTCTTCTTGAACTTCTTGGTAGATATCAAGTCTGTATTCTGTATCCGTGACAATCATCTAAAGCCTCTTAAAACCTTCTAGGATCTCCTATGACCTTTTAGAATTTTCTTAGAATCTATTAGAATCTTCTTGAATCTTCTTAGAACCTATTGGAAGCTCCTAGAATCTTCTAAGATGTATAAGAACTTTTCTAAAATCTTATAGAACATCCTAGAATCTTCTCAAACCTTCTTCAGTAGTATGTCCATGACATAGGCCTTATATCCAATACAATATGAAGATTGTATTCATATTGAATGTTGGACCATATATTATAGTCTATTATATCTTATATATAATTATATGTTCTATTATATTTTCTATTATATAGCTATTATATTTTGTATCATATATTATATATATAGTACTATAATCTAATTTATATACCATTATATTTTGATTATATATAATATTATATTTTGTATCATATCTACTACCATATTTAGATTATATAAAATCAAATAATACTAAAATCTTAAAATATTAGATTTCTTTTAGATGCTCTTTAAGATATTTTCTACTTAGAAATTTAAATCTTAGATTTTTTATACTACCTATAATTAATCTATTAATTCTATTTTACTTTTATTTAGTATTTTCTACATTCATCTTCAATAATTATTTATGACTTAACACTTCTATTACATTATTTTATTTTGAAATAATTTGTGAGTTGTTTTAATGACTCATAAAAGACTTAAAAAAAAATTGTAATAAAAAAAAAATAATTTCAACAAAAATTGTATTCTATCTTCTATCTTTGTTTATAGTTTCTTTTTGTGTTGCTAAAAAGATTAACAATTTAAGAGCTATCATTTATATAGTTATCAAATGAGACATTGTAATTATTACAACCTTAAAAATAATATAATAGAGGTAAAGACTTTCAAGAATAACATGTTCTTTCTTGAATAGATGGCAAAATATAATGCATTTATTATCACAACCTTGGAAAAAATTCTTAATATTTGATGATTTTATTAGAGGTAGAAATAATTTTTAATAATGTAACAAATATTTTATTTGAAAGAAGTTATAAAGTCCTCAATAATGATCAAATATCAAGGCAATCTTCTTACTTTGGAATAAGACATTAAAAATGGCTACTAAGACCTATCAATTATTTTTAAAGAGAATAAAGTTTAAAATATGTGACAAATACAATTTATTTCATCTTTCACTTTCTCAAGATATAATCGCTACTCCTTATCAAACTTGTCTTTAGAAAGGAGGATAATAATATAAATATACATATTTATTCTAATAATTATTTAAATAATATGAATAAATATAAATAAATAAAAATAGATAAATTTGATAATATCTTATAGAAAAGTTTTTTAGAAGCTTTATAGATGCAACTTTGACTTTATACATGTTTGTAGTTGATTGATAAGTTAAAAGCTTGGTCAACAATTTAGCCATGTATTACATGTATTGGTAGCTTATGGTACAAAGTAACTATATAGCACAAATATAGAAAACTTGTCTTGTAAGTCAAGACATGTATCTTGCAAGTTAAACATATGTTGGAAGTCCTATAGAATATTACTTTATAGCTCCTAGTTAAATAGTATATATAGAGGCAAGAGTGAAGCTTTTTTTTACTCATTTCAATTCTTTTCTTGCTTCTTGTCTAATTTCAAGAATCTCTAATTTTTCTTCTCTTTTGGTAATAGCCATTCTAATTTCTTCTCAAATGTACATACTTTTTATTTCTATTTTTTCGTCTTTCTTTGATATATATGTCACTTATTTATATATCTTCTTTGAATTCTTGTCCTTGATAATGGATTCTCTTACAGAAAAAAATATATATTATAATTATTTTAATTAATAAAGTGTTGAATTATTAATTAAAAAATATATATTATTATCATTAGATTTCAAGAACTTGGTAATGATTTTATTGTATCAATTAAACCATATCAAAATTTTATTTTATTATTACAAAAAAAATCTAAGATATTGCACAATAAATTTGAATATCTTGCATATATAAGCTTAAAACAACTCTATTCAAACAAAAGAATTAAAATATTATCTTCTATTAATAATGTACTTAAAGAAGTATACAAAGCATATAATGTTGGTTATTGAGATGTAAAAAAAAAATTCTAAACAAAGTGTTAATAGATCCAAGAAACTTCTATAATTAATTCATGTTGATTTAATTGAGCCTATTTTTAAATCCTCGCTAAATGGCACCAAAATATTTTTGCAAAGTACAATTGAAGACATTATTAATTCAAAAAGTAATTGAAGACATTGCAAGATAAGTTAAAAGAATGGAAAGAAAAGGCCATAGATATGACTTTGACCACAAAGTCTTTAATGGAGGAGTTAGATTTTAGAATTGAAAAAGGATTATAGGATTTTTGTAAGTGTAGACTATATAATGGAATCCTAATATTGCTCTACTAAAGAAATCTAAGTTATTGGCCTATGTCTCAAACTATAATGCATGCCATTCAAAGAGATCCGGATAACCTTCCAAATGAATTATTGTCATAGAATCTTATCATAGAAGGCATTGGCAGGGTTGTGCTTGGAATCCATGACTTGCAAGGCAAAGTACCATTTTGAAGGAGAATCTTGGTGCACAAGGATTTTTGACAAAGAAATAATGATGCAGTGGAATGTGGAAGACTATCCTTGCATAGTGACTATAGTGGAAGTGGAGGCAAGGGATTTACAAGAGGCTTAGACACTATAAAAAAAGTATTGCTCTGAGCTCCAATTTAAACTAAAAAAAAACTAGAATAACAAAGGGTATTTTTGCAAATATCACAAAAATCAAAGATAAATATAATATTATCAAAACTTGAAGGGTGTTCTTGATAATTTGGAAAAATTCAGGGACGTGTGATATTTTTCCCTTATAGTTCTCATCTGCCATACATTGTGAAGGATCCTTACAATACGTCATACTATTAGATGATATTGTGCAGGTCCCGCTCCCTCTTTAACCCCTTGCTCTAGCTCCTTTCTTGTCGCTGTCTTGTCCCTGTGTCTGCTCCACTCTTGTCCTTGTCTTGTTCTCACGCTTGTTCTTGTCTTCACAAAGACGGAGTCGTGCGGTGCCTTCCACATCCTTTGCAATCCTGCTTCAAGCTCGATTGCATCGCCCAGCCAGCGCCTCGTCTACCTCCAGGTAATATTTTTTCCAAAGACATAGGCTCATTGTTTCGAGCTATAGACCAGCAACGAACTGGCTCCGCCTCTCAGCATCAAGTTTGTGAGTACCGCCCACGTCGTGTGTGAGCTGCCATGGTTGTTGAATAGAGATGAGAGGTGTAGGGATAGGAAAGGGGGGTTCTGTTGTCGCCAGAGATTACCCCCAAGTTCGCTTTACGTCTCAGGGTGCGTGCGCTTGGAAGGAGAGTTGGGTCCGGAATTCGCGACGGTGCAAAATGAGATGTGGGTCAAAGTGTGTGTATGTGTCACTTAGCTCAGTTATGCTGTGATTGCGCATCGAATGGTGACTTGCACCATCGCGGGTGTCGAGGTAGATAGCAGGAAGCTAACCAACAGAATTTGGGTGTGCGTTTAACCAGTCTTTTGCTGCTGAAAATGAATCTGACGTATTGAGGATGGCAACAGTGGAGCCAGAGAGATTAGAGAGGGGAGAATCTGTGTAAATGAGTCAGTCTTTGGGGATTATAAGAGCCACGAAATCGCCCTTGGTGGAGAGCTATCCTCGTATCCTGCAACCGTCACCACCCTGCTGTTGAACGAAACAAAGATTGCTAACTGCTGCCCCGGCCTTAACCTTGAAACCTTGCCCCCACCTTCACCATACTGTTCATCTTTGTTGTCGGTCTCATCAGCCTCTTGTTTCCCCAACTTTTCCTCTCACAATAACACAGAAGTACCACACAATACGATGGTTGGAAGTTTCACTATTTCCATATTGTTCTTGTGACAAAACTTGAATTCTGAAACCGAGCGACTTTGTGACCTGTAGAAGCGTACATCAGCATTCTGTCAAAAGTGTAAGAAGACGAGGGTTACACCCAGCGATAACCTGGGTTGGTTACGCTCAGTCGTCATCATTTGGAACTAGAACAAATGAGGTCAGTTCTCTTTGCTGTGCTCAGGAATCGAGATCATGACTCTTTTTCGTGATTCATTCTGTCGTCGTGGTTGCAGAAATTCTTCTATTTCTCTCTGGTTTCGTTGATCAAGATTTAGGGGACGGGAGTAGTAGGTCAACCGCTGAAGTGAAGTGAAGGTTCTCTGTTGAGCATAGTTCAAGATCTTCGGAAGGCGGAGTTTTCGCTTGTTACGCTCCCTCTGCGAATTTTGATAATTGCGATTGTATATTTCCTGGGAGATTTTTCTGTTCTTACAGGAATTGCGTGGAGATCATAGGTAAATTCTGTTTTAGGGTTTAAGGGCACAGTTATGGCAGAGGGACCACATGTACGCTATTCCAAACTTTCCTCCTACCACGATGAGGAGGAAGAAGAGATGATCGACCCGCCTTCTTTTGTGCGCAATACAGCGCACGAGGATCTGCGCTACGCATTCGAGCTACCGAAGGAGGTGCCCTGGAAATCGATTGCCTTGGCTCTCTTCTTACTCGCCTTCGGCACCTTGTTCCTCATCCTCGCGCATTTTCTCTACAGCGAGCACATGGAAGGAGAGATGGAGCAAGTTTACGGATTTCTGATCCTGGGTGTGCTGCTATTCCTTCCCGGTTTCTACGAGACGCGCATCGCGTACTACTCGTGGCGTGGGGCAAAGGGTTACAGGTTCTCGCAAATTCCCGCGTACTAACTGCTTCAGAATCGGTGGGACCAGGCTCTAAATCGCAAACGTAGGTCACAGTTAGTCACTTCCTGTATGCATAGCCGTTTTCCGGGCCCTTTAACTTGGAATTGGCGAAGTTGAAAATGTATGCAATCCCTCTCCTTCCCTGGTTGAGGCCTTCAAAGTTTCCCTGCAGCTGTAGTCACTTTATCGTAAGTCTACTAACGGAAGACTGCGTAGTATTGTGTTGGTTTGCGTGCATTGCTTCCGACTGCGACATTCCACGGAGAAGTGGCTGTGATGAACTGCTAATGAGATAATAGATTATTATGGGCATGCAGTTATAGGAGCTGCATCACATATCTTCATGTACTTCGCTAGGACTGAGTTGAAATTTGGTCAGTTGTGGAAATTTCAAAGTTTGGAATGTATATATTTGCTCCAGAAGTAAAGAAACGGGCATAAACAAATTGAACAGGTTTGATTTTATAGTCTGCTGTTGGGACGCTGATCTTGCTTGCCAGCTTCTCTTTCAATATCGTACAGTTATCAGCTTGAGAATCTAGATAGGAACTATTATGAACTATCACAATGCGTTTTGAACTGCACAATAAATAATATGTTACGAATATTCTGTATTAACCATCTGAGCTAAAAGTGAGGTTAGGATGCATGAGTTGAGTTGGTCGTAAACACATAATGTCTACGGCAATTCGCAGGTTTATAAGATAAACACTAAATGGTTTGATATCAGTGAGGGATTCAGGGCCCAACGCAAGAATAATAGAAAAGAGCTCTCAGTACAAGTCGCACTATTTGGCCACCCTCACATCCATACGCCCTGTTGACAAGGGCAGCCCTCTCAAGTCGAACGCCACAAGCAGCTGTTGGCTGCTAAATGAGGTTATGATAATTGGCATTCATATCCTACTTCTAAGTACCTACAAATTGTGAAGACTAACATAATTTTGCTAGTTATAATCAATCCTATCATAGGAACATTATGAGAGACATTCAGGTTTTCTGAACAATATCTTCATACAGATCATAGTATGACAGGGACTTCGCTGCTCGGCGTGGCAAGGCACCTGCACCACCACCAGACTTCTTCCGCAACAAAGCCCCACCGCGAGGCAACAAATCCTGCTCTGCGCTTCTCTTATCTCGAGCCTTGAGCTTCTCAGCTTTCTCCATTTGGCTTGTGAAAGCCTCCGCAAAGAAAGCAACAACAACGTTGAGAGTGAAAGCGACTGCAATGGCCCAGAAAGCTATGAAGTACGTGCGACTCCACCGAGTTCCAGTAACTGCAGCATACGCGTCCATGAAGACATACCATTTGTTCACCACACATAAGTTGAAGCACGTGGCCATCGCCGAAGGATAGTCGTTGAAATTGAATGCATAAAATTGGTGTTGTGCATACTCTGTGCCCACCAAAGCAGGGTTATCCTTGTAAATGAGTCCGCCGAATAGATGCATTCCCAGCAAGGCAAAGAGAGAGCAGACGAGAAACTGAAGCGCCAGTATCGGAGCAGTTGCCGGTATGACGTGAACCAATGTTTCACCCATCAGCCGCCAGCGAGAGATCATGGTGACAAGCGCAAGAATTCGGAAGCAACGGGCGATTGTCAAGTAAGATACCCTGGAAAACAATCAACAACCAATGAGATATAGTGTAGTGAGAAGCAGCTATCTAGTAAAGATTAGAAATCTATTGACTTGCTCATGAAGCGAAAATAGTTCTCCAATAAAAAGATGTTGAATATCTTTTAGACATGAATACAACGGAGTACAGATCTTGCATAGAATGCATCACTCACCAGTGTCGAGCATCATCGTTATAGAAGGATGCCGCTTGAACAGCCACAATTAGTAGCGTGACGACAAAATCGAAACGGTTCACACGTGTGCGCCAATAAGACTTCCAACCTTGTACACAGATCTTCAGCACTCCGTCCATAACAAAAATCCAGCCTGCATTGATGCACGATGTGCTTTAAGCAATGAGAAAAAGAATACCTCCCATAACCATCCCAAAAGTAAGAATGACATAATCATATTGTCGAAACACCACTCGAGAAGAGATTGAGGAACGGCCATTACCGAATAAGAACTCGAGATTGATCAGCAACATCTGCACTGCTCCGCCAACCTGCATCAGCATATACCAGGCGGTGCGTGTCACAAGCTTTAAATGTAAAAAGTATCCAATATTAGAAGAAGCATGGATATATCGAGGTTTGTTTGGCTGCGTCAAATTATTTGCAGGGTGGAGGCTGGGCAAAAATGTAGGCAAACCGCCACATTCCTGAAAACAAGCAAATTAGACACTCAAACAATTCGACATCCTAAACATGTTTCAAATCACAGAAGGGGATTAGGCAAGGGCGTGTGTAATTTGATGCTATTTTGTTCGGGATATCAATCTATGTAAGAGTTTCTGCGGAATCTCAGAGCAAATTCAGAGGGGATTTCATGTTCAAATGGTACAATTAGCATGTAAAGCATTCATACAACTAAGCATACGGTCCTTCCCAGCTCAACATATTTTCAAAAATAATTGTAAGAAACATACGTTTAGTGCAGCAATAGCAATTGATAGAGAGGACAAGGTCAAAGCCCAGATGACGTAGTTGTAGAATGGGTGTTTGACGAAGTGCATATCAGAGTTACTGCGGCGCCTCTTCAGACGTGCCATATCTGGCTGCCGTTCCACCTCTTTTGCAATGACATCGCAGAGTTCCTCAAATTCATCAGACCAGATCTTGAAATCTCCTCGTTTGTTGAGAGCAAGGAAAAGCCGGCTGGCTCGAGCTCGAACATCAGGTATGTGCCTTCAACCCAACAATTACTAGCCTAGTTATAGAGTGACAAATTGCTGTAGGTTGCGCATCCACCTTCCTCAATTATAAATTTGATAATACCATTTCAGTGCCTAACAAAACTAGCAAAACTAATCACTGATAATGTTAAGATTAGCTAATTACAGCGAACGATTTCATATAAATGATGATATGACAAGCTTTTCATCACAAGATGATATCAAGAAAGTGAAGCCCATTAAAAACTGCTATTTCCCGAGTGATTTGTATAGAACTGCATGAATCAATACAATCCTCGGAATATTGCTGACGAAAATGAGCCCATCAACCACAAATTGGAAATTTATTCACATGCTCACCTGTAGCGACCAATGGCAAGGAAAAGTGCGATCATGGTTGCACCATCGATCCATTCCTGATGACGTGTGTCTAATAAACTGAAGGCGGCCCTCAAATTTCCTTGTCGTGCTGTTATACGCTTGGCAACCTCAACAGCCATCTGCAAAACATGTCAAGGCCCATCTCAGAACAAGGTGCCATGCATAGTTACAAAGCTCCTAGTAAATTCGCTCTTCGAAATAATATTTTAGACATCTCAATGCTGTACGCCGCTTTCTATGATCAGTAATTTCTCGTTAATAAAAGAGACTCAATCATTAACACCCACAATTCATGAGTACTCCACTCCGTAGTGAACGACAAAAGGCAGGAACAAGTATTCTGCAAGATAAATCGTACATCGTCATATTCAGAAGAGCAGAAAAATACATGGTCATTATGCTCAAATCGGAGATGAGTTACTAAACGTTAGACATCATCAAACAGGATTTTTCAGTAGGTATACCTGCGCTTTGTAACTGCTGTAAATCACGGAGAACGCCAAGTTCATCAAGAAGTAAAGCCCCACAACCATATAGAAGAAAAAGAAAAAGAATGCCAAGCGATTGGCATTATAAGTTGAGGCCCAAACGACCGGATTGTTTGCTGTTGTTAGCAACACAAAAAGGCTCAGCAGCGACGTGCTGAAATCTTTGAAATCAACAGATGTGTCTGAGAATAATGCTGTTGCCACCCACGCTGAGAGTAACACAAATGTACCCACTAACACCTGACATTCGCAACCATTCACAAGGGTTTATGAGAACAAATGAATTTGTATATAAAAGTTATTTCTACCATTTCTTTCTGCACAACGGGTATTAAAAACCCATACTAGGCACAATGAACAGTTCATGTCGACTTTCAGAAGCACGGATTTGAGAATATACCGCTATGTCCATGAAGGTGTGTATGATCCGCACCGTCATCCGGAAGCAACCTCGTATAGCCCTATTGCAAAAGAAACCATCCGTCAAACAAGAGATTTGACCATCGAAAGTATGTTGATCATGACCATTCAATGTGTCTTACGCGTTCAATACACAGACTACAGAAATAGACACAAGCTGACATATGATCTGTTATTTGGCTCCAAAGGTAGACGAATTCGCATGCGTTGAAATGTAACCAGTGACCTGGGGAGATGTTCGAGAGGCGTCCATGGTGTCTTAACATTATCTGACATGGAAGTTATTCGTTTACACGAACATCACACTGTTCGAACTTGGTTTTCGTCAAGGATGTACCTGCTAAAGACGACGGGAACTAATAGCCGAATATACATGGATATGTTGATTCCACGCAATTCAGATAGTCCAATAGACGATGTAAGGGTAGAAATTATCATTAAACCCAAAACTATCACCTGCACCATATTGCCAAAAAACCTCTGATAAAAACGTCTTTGTGCGTTGCACAGTCACCGTCGCCACAACTATTCAATGAACATGAAAAAGATTCAAATAAACAAGAGAACTTCGATAGGTTGTCAAAATTTAAGGGAGAGAGAGAGAGAGAGAGAGAGAGAGAGAGAGAGAGAAGTTAAAATAAAATAAAAAAGGGGGGGGGGACCTTGTAGACTCCCACCCGACCGATCCAAAATTGCGCCCTCAGAAAATACCATTGTAAGCAAACGGACCAGACTAGTACCAGTACACACAACACCTGCAAAAATGATCTTTCCGGTAAGTACTAAGAGAGAATGAAGGGTATAGTATATTCTAAGAAGTGCACGTACTACAATACACAAGATCTTAGAGATTGATTAAATTGTTTAATGCTAACCATGAAGATCCTCTGCTGGTTTTATCAGTCTATAACTTTTCTGGTAATTAATGAGAGACACATTCATAATAAAGGGGAGATCGACGTTGCTACAAAAACTTCAAGCATTTCATTTGAAGGATCACCAGGTTACCCGTGTGTCCACAATGACCTGGGAAATCCTAAAGAGTAACTTTTCAAGTTAAGAGAACTATGTGCACGAAGTGAGCTTCAGAATTTTACAAACCTGAATAGTCACGGATGTCCACGAACGAACATAAGGTAACCCACTGAGAGGATACTTTTTTGAGTCTCCACAGGGATGTGGAAGATCACCATCACACCATGCTGGAATCTAAAGAAACAAAGGAAAGAAACTCAGACCAGAAATAAACATAACTTTCTTGGCAAAATATAAACCTAGAAGAGGTTCGTTTTACGAATTCTAATTCTTTGATGAAGTCAGCATACTTAAACTCTGAGTGGTGGTGAATGAACCCATATCCTTCACTTCTCTAACTAACAGGAATATTTCTAGCAATATAACAGAAAGAGAACTTAAAATTCTTCTGTTTTGATATGACTTCAGTTCCACAAAATAATATACCAAGAACTTGGAGTACAAGAAACCAAAAAGGCAGTTGTATACTAATATCCAACTTCAAAAACCCGCGGCACCAATTACCTCAAAAAACGGCAGGACCATCAACAGAAAATAGACTAGGCCTCTAACAAAGGATAATTGGTGATAGAGCAGAAAAGCACTTTTAGCACTTTCATAATCCTTGTGATATACCACAGCCAATGGCATCCACCTCCCCATCATCGCCTGCATTGTGCGGCAACCGTTTAAGACCAATCATGAAAGTTCTTCAGACAATACAAGAATGATGGTTCCAACTACAAGTTGCACTGATTCTCAATAACTATAGACTTTCAATTGAGAACCCATCCAAATGCGTACGGCCAACCGTGCGCTCACATATTCAAGGAAACGCCATCATCTATTGATAGGAGCAGCAAATTTGAAATGCAGACCATGACAAGTCACCTGGTCAACCAGAGCAGCCGCCATCTCCACATGTGAGGTGAGAGAAGACTCGCTTTGAGGTCCATACTCCAAGTCAGGGAATCTTCTAAAATCTGGACAAGTTTGTTGAAGGTATGCAGATTGCCCTCTGCGAAGAGGTGTCAGAAGTCCTTCCTCCTGTATCTCAGGAAGAGGGGTTTTCTTTCTAACCTTCTTCCTCATCTTACGGAATTTAAAATTACTACTTGAAAATGTTCGCTATGTGGCTCCTTTCAAACTCATACCCATTCAACAAAGTGCATACTTCGTGTGCGATGGGCTAGATCGGAGTCGTTAAAATCCTATTCAACCGCGGGCTAGTCCACGTAGGCTACACATAGTCTCAGCTCGGTTACGCGGATCACAGGATGCAAGTCCGTCTTAGACCACAGTGAACACTTTGGTAAGCAAAATTCGAGGGAAAATGAAGCAAGTAAGCCGAGACGAACTCATGGCTCACAATAAGGTCTCCATCAGCTAAACCTAATGCAAATTGGCCCAGCCGTAAATCCTACCAAAAATTTGGAACCCCAGCAAGAGAGATCTTCATCAGGGAATAATCTTCGTGAGTTTATAAGCCCCCAATCCTCCAGAAACCGAATAAAAGTGCGGTCTCGACTGGGCTAAATCTTCGATAATAAAGAAAAACGCATCACTCCAACAAAGAAACAAAGCGTGTCACGCAGCCACGATCGAGTTTTAGCATAAAGCCTTAACGTTGCGTAACACTACATCCATCCCCCAAAGTCATTGCAATCAATCGATGATGGCCGTCAACGATGTACAAAACAAAAGGATTCCAGAGGTGATCCTCCACGCCGCAACAACCACCTCCAAGATTAATTGAAAATCCAACACCTTAAGTGATACTCCTGGACACCCACTGCAGAACCTCGATCCGCAACATTTATCGGCAATCATCAAAACATATTTCCACTTTCAAAAAGCAACTTCGAACGAAGCCCAGCATTCACATGAAAATCATGCAGCCAGTGATCCTCCATGCCGCCAATTCCTCACGAAAGCCCTTCTCTGACAACACCATAATGTTTGAATTTAGTTTTTCTACAACCTCCTCAGTACTGTCCCGAATGCCTCGCGATCCGATCTCCGTGACAAAAGCGCATGTACTTCGGCCACGAGCGTCTTTCCAATCCAAGAATCCTCAACACTGTCACTGTACCCTCGAAATCACACAACCAAAGAACCAATAATCTCTCAAAACCTTCACACGCCACAATCGGCGGATCTCCACCATCCCCTTGGGTTTAAAGTCTCACAAATCCAACAACAAAAAATCCATCACGTCATCACCACTACTCACCAGTTCCCACCGCTATAATGATAGAAGGCAGAACGGATCGCCATCCGGGTTTCGGCAGAAGTCACGTCACAGAAACGCCACTATTCTTCAAAACCCCTCCCCCGGGGGATTGGTTCGCTTTGCTTCTGCCCTGCTTCATCAACGCATCCTCCAGCAAACAAGCAAGCAAATATCTCTACTACTACTACAAAGCATGGTTATCAACGACGCTGGGGGTGGGCTAACTCCTCGACGCTCTCAGCACGCCGCATTGAACTGCGAACGATGTTCACCGCGCACCTGCCACCAATTTCAAACGAAACCCACTTCCCCCACTCCTCCTCCTCCCTCCTCCTCGTCATGCCATGAGAATGGCAAAAAAATAACGCCTGGGAGTGGATCGACCTGGCAGCACACCATCACTACGACCCCAATGACCACCACCTTCCGTCGCATGACGCCGCGATTAAAGATCTGTTGTGATCATGACAGTGGCTCATTTACTGCGAATTTGGCGTCGACGCTCCTCCGATGCCCACCTCATCAGCACTCCCCTTCTTCCTCTCCCTCCTCCTCTCCCTCATCTTCCTCTTCCTCCCCGCATCTACCAAAGCGGTCCTGCCACTCACGCCCTTCCCGCAATCACCGCATAGTTCATCTTTCCACACGTCAATTTCGGAACGAGTTTTCTCCTCAATGGATGGAAAACAAAGAAAAAAAAACAAATGCTAGAAGCGGACGGGGCCGCACTGCATGCTCTCGAGAAAACGATCAAACAATGACGACTACAACAACAACAAATAGTCACAAGTCAGGAAAAAAAAACCTAAAAACTTTTTTTTATTTTATTTTTATTACTCTACAGTGTGTATGTACTGCTAGATTTTTCTACAGAAATTTGAACATTCCCAGGATTGAAATCACTGACATATATTTGCAGGCAGGTGAGAGCTTCATGTCATGCGGAATCAGCATCGAAATGTGTGTGCAGATGTGCAAACATGTGCTTCATCCAGTGCAGGAAAAACCTTCATAACCGTTGCAGTTTAAACCCCCATATCCTTCCAGATAAGTCCAGCTTAAAACACTGTTCTTTATCTATTTATTTTATTCTTTAGTCTATCTTCTTTCGGCTAACTTGGACGAAATGGGTTCCGAAATCCGGACTCCGCTGTTACTAAAAACACCCAGGGTATGTATTATTTCACGTTATTTTATTTTATTTTATTTTCTTTAATCATATAAACTGGGGTTTTGACTTTGTGTTGGATGCTCCCTAAACCCCCACTTAACTCTCATGACGGCTTGAAATCCCGGGTCTGAGTCAGACCGGGTTTTAAAATCGCGGGCTCCGTGCTTGGCCTACGCTGCTGACTTGGCCCCGTTCTTCTTCTCGTGCGTCGGTTTCACACTAAAGACCAGTCTGATTGAGAACGCTAGGGAACATGGGAACTGAAGATGTTCACGTTCTCTACACGGGAAAGGGCAAAAGAATAGTTCACGTGGTGGGCTTTTTGAGTTTTAAATACTTTTTTTCTTTCTTTCTTTCTTTCTTAGAAACCCCAAAATGTGATAAACCATAGTCATTTTTTTTGGAAATAATTTGTGAAAGCATGGATTAGGGTTTGACATAGCAGTGCATATACACACTCAAAAATGTCAGTATCAGTTTGTTCTCTTGCTGGGTCAACTTCATCATCCAAGAACATTTGCCCCACTTGTACTCTCATGTCTGGGTAACTGCTTTATTTAAAAAATGAAAAAAAATAATAATGTTTCTATAAATATATATAGAAGGTTGTTCCTACAGCATCTGATAACTACAAAAAGCTTGAAAGAATATCCACTGCATCAATTGAAAAAGGATGTATGAGAAAGGTTAGTACTAATAGTGTTACTTCCATGGTACTTTAGAAGAATGTATTCTGGTTTCTTTGGAAAATTGAATTTCATGACCGAGAGAGTTTTGGGTGATGCAGTCAAAATATACCATTTTTTTTAGTCCCAATTAATATTAAAACTCTTAAATTTAGAAAAAAAAGTAAAGAAAAATCAATTGATACATAGAATGCTGAATGTTTTTGTTTTTCTAATGATCTGACAAATCATACAATTATGTGTTTCAAACTATGATATCAAGAATTCGTAAAGATAACAACAATAATTATACATAATACATATTCCCATTTTAAGAGAAATATGTGTGTGTGACTAGATGTGTAAACTCATCAGAATTTGAACCAGCATAGCCAACTGAAGAATTTCATTACAAAACGATTGTTTTAATTATCTTTTACTTTTACTTAAAAAAGATTTCAAAAAGCATGGAGAGGAAAAAATGCCATAAGTAGGTTCAAACCCTAGTTGTCTTCATTCTAATTAGGGTTTGCAGCAAATTCTAAATGAATGTGGTGAAGGAGGAGGAGGAGGGAAAGGGGTCTGGATAATAATAGAGGCTCTCAGTCTTATTCCCACAGATCCATGAACATAGGCAACTCACACTCATACATGCCTCCTGTTACTCATTTTCATATTAAATAAAGTGGAGCCCTGCCAGCTCATGGCCCACATGCCTCCACCATCCCACACACCATTTGCCCTCATCCACAATTGAGAAGAAATGAATAAAATGAAGCAAAACATAAAATAAAATATAAAATATAAAGTGAAAGGAGTTTGGCAAATAGTGTGGGTGAAACCTGATGCTTGTTGTAATGTACGGTTCATTCTCAAGCCTTCAATGCTCTCCTTTGTGCAAGTGATTTGTGTTTGGAATTTTTTAAGTGTAAGTGTATGTGTATATATATATATATATATTTTAAAATGAGAGTATTTTGAAGGATTTTGTGAGAAAAGAAGGGAAAATGTAGAAAAGTTGACATGCAGTGTAACAATGGGTGCTTAAAATGTGTTTATGTTTTAGTTATTTGTATGTTTGTGTACTGCATTTAAATTTTCAAATGTCAAATGAATCACTTGTTACTACACAACGCAAGGTAAGAGTTACAGGTGCACACATTCTTTTATGTTTTTTTTTTTAATTCTTATCGTTTTATTTATCTTTACATTTTAGGATTTGTTTGACAATTGTCCTTTGTGACACATTATGCTAATTCAATTTGATGACTGTTGTCCTCCATTACCATCCATGCTGCAAAATAAATAAATAATAGAAAAAAAGTTTGGGCTTAACATGTATGTTGTTTTAGCCTAAACAGGCTTTCATTTTCATATTGTGTTTTTACTATTTTATTTATTTTTTTACAAAAATTCAAAACATTTATTTTAAGGTATATTCATGATATTAATTGCATTGTAACATAACATTAGTATTGGGTCTCTGTCTTTGCTTTGAGAGCAATACGTTGAAGTGAGTTTTTGAGTTGTTGATAATAATACAAAATATAATATTGAACCAAGACATAAAAAAATGTAATTAGGAAATACACAATCATATTTTATCCATATCATGAAAAATAGAATAAAATAATAAAACTCAAAGACACAAAAACAGTAATATATATATATATATATATATATATATAACACCACAAAAAAATGTAAGTACATAAAAATTATATTTTTTGGTTTGTAAAACATTATTTAAATTTAAATTTAGAAATTATAGTTTTAATCAGAAATTATGTATTATACATAAATATAGATATAGCATAATTTTAATTTATAAATTAATAAATAAATATTTATTTGTATTAAAATTAAAACATAAATAACATTAATTTGACCATACATATAAAAAAATCAACCAAAAATATTTAAATTGATACAACTTGAATTAAAAGTGAGTTCTATTGCAAATATCTTACCTACTATTTGTTAGGTACATGCCTTGGCAAGTTAATCACATAGTTTCTATATTGGTCACTTGCCATGTATTTGCTACTTGTTTCATAAATCACGTGATCCTTAAGAAACTACTATATTATCTTCTTAATAATTTTGCATATATAGATATAAGAGTGAGACTATTATAGATCTTATTAACACCCTTCTTATATTCTAATCTTGGTTTATAATTCTTTATCTTCTTTGCATATAAAACAACCATTATAATTCTTATTTTTTTATCTTAAATTTATATTTTTTTCTTTATTTTTTTCTCTTCTTCAATGATACATAAGTATATTGACTTTGAAATTTTGCCTACATTCATGTCATTGAAAATTTAAAAAAATTAATACCTACAATATTAAAGCTTTATCTTTCTTTATAAACAATAGATTTATTTTATTTTATTTTATTTTATTTTTTCTTAAAAGCATCAAAGTCTTATAGTGTCACGGAAATACATATAATTACCTATATGAATAGATAAAAGTATGTAAAAGTAGATAAAAGTAGGTTAATTGTGTAATATCTTCTAGAGAAGCTTCTTAGAAGCTTCATAGATGCTGCTTTGACTTTATAGGAGTCTATAGTTGACTTTTAGGCTAGAAACTTGGTCAACAAGTTAGCCATGTGCCACACATGTTGGAAGCTTAAAGAACAAGCTAACTACGTGGTCCATCCATAGAAAACTTGTCTTGCAAGCAAAGGCATGTGGCCTAGAAAGTCAACATATATTGGAGGTCTTATAGAACATCGCCATGTGGCTTCTAGTTAGATAGTATATATAGAGGCAAGAGTGAAGCCCTCTTCACTCTTGTCAACTCCTTTCTTGCTTCTAGTCTAGTTTCAAGGGTCTCTAGTTTTCTTGTATTTTGGCAATAGCCATTCCAATTTCTTTCTTAATATACATATTTCTATTTTGTCCTATTTCTTTGAGAAAAGTCTCACTTACTCTTTAGCTTTCATCGAGTTCTTGTCCTTGACAGATTGACAAGAGTACACTTACAATATCAGAGCTATGTCTTTTCTTGATTAAGAGTGGATTACCCCTTTTTCTTGATAAGACATAAGCGCATTAGAAGTTGCGGATTACCCTCTTTTAAACTGATATTGTTCTTAGTATTTTCTTTGTTATCAATTCCTCTCTTCTATTTGTTTTGAGCGTTATTAGACATCTTCTCTTTTCTAAGTGCTACTATGACAGAGCTTGTTGAAATGAAGAGTGCAATGGCACAGATGCAAGAACAATTGAGGGAGTTAATGCTTGCGATGCATCAACTCAATTTACCACCACAAGGAGCAACAAGAATGGTAGGAAGTGAAGATATAGAGATGATTGGGGCTGCTTCAACATCTGCACCAAACCATGTCCCTTCTCCCAGAATGGAACACCCTTCGAGTATTAGAGAACCGAGAGTGGCCTTGCCCGAGAAGTTTGATGGTATCAGATCCAAGTTTCGAGGATTCATCAATCAGGTCCAACTAGTGATTGAACTTCAACCCCAGAGCTATCCAACTCCAGGGTCACAAGTTAGATTCATTGGTACACTTCTTTCAGGTTCAGCATTGTCATGGTTTTCATCTTTTCTTGAACGATGAGATCCAATATTGGATAATCTGGAGGCTTTTTTGGCGGAGTTTCGATCCATGTTTGGAGAACATGATGCAATTCGTGTTGCAACCAACAAGATCCGTATTTTGCGACAAGGCAATCGATCAGTAACATTATATGCTTCGCAATTTCGACAACTTGCAAATGATATCAAGTCGGATGATGCCGCACTTGTGAGTCAATTTCTCTACGGATTACAATATGAGGTAAAGAAATTGATGCTTAATTTACCTGATCCTCAAACATTGAGTCAAGCAATTGACTTTGCTGTGAAGTGCGACAATTGACTTTTTGAATTTCGATCCGAGAGTCGCACAAGTA